ATCCTTTACAATGTGGGACCATAGGTGGCAGAGGGCCAGAGAAAATGGGGATTAGTTCCCCCCAAATGCAGGGCAGCAGTAGTGGCACAGGCTCCGGGCATGGGCTCTGGGTGGCTACAGCATGGTGGGGAGGGGCCCGCACAGACACGTAACCACAGCCTGCTGCAGGAGGCCAGGAATGCAGCAGCATGTGGAGCAGCACCCAGCAGGCAAATCTGTGAAGAAGAAGGGGTGTGGGGGGGCACATTGAGGCCCCCCATGGTGAGGGAGGGAGTGGGGCAGGGACTGGGGTGAGTGAGACCTTAGGGAAGGCCGTGGGTTGGTTGGAACCCCAGGTGGCTCATCCAGGGGCACAGGGAGACTCCTGCCATTGCACACACCCTGGGCAAGGCACAGGGGGCACATGACCCCTGGATTTGTGTGTGAAGCAGAGGTAGGCTGCCACTGCAGGCTGGGCTCTGTGCCCTGCAGATGTTGCCCTGGGAGCCACGCAATCCCATTTGTTTCCTGCTGCCGGGTGGGCCGGGGCATGGTGCAGCCAGCGCATGGCTTTCAGGGCAATGGCAGCAGGGTGCAGAGCCCCACCCCACAGTGGCATCCCGCCTCCGCTCTGTGCACAAATCTGGGGGGCATGTGCCTCTTGTTCCTTGCCCTGGGTGTGCACAGCGCCCCCCCACCATACCCCTGGATGAGCTGCCTGGGGCTCCAATTATCCCACGACCTGCCCCGGGGCCCCATTCACCCCAGCCCCTGGCCCAGCCCCTACCTCACTCCCTTCTTCACCATGGGGGCCTTGATCTCTCTCCTATGTGTCTTCCCTCCCCCATGCCCCTTCTCCCTCACACACTTACCTGCTGGGCACTGTCTGTGTAGCAGCACAATAGAATTATCTTTTAAGTTTTACTCAGCCCCCACAAATAATATTTTCTCCCTCCACCTGTGTGGGACCTTAATAAGGTTGGTGGGAAAAGTCAGATGTTCTGTATGATGATTTGCAGAGTAATTTCTAGTTCCCTGAAGTATTTTTTAAAATGTAAAATGCCCTTTTAGCTAGCAGTTGCTCAATCATTGTATGCTACTCTTTTCCTTTCTTCTCTATACCAGTTATAGGGCCACTGCATGAGTTCCTGGAGCCCAGTGTCTTTAAAGTACCAGCATGGAGCTTAATGGGTTGATCTACCATCTCTCTAGAGTCCCTGAAGAAAACAAGATATTTTAGCCTCAGTTGAAAGGCTGAAATGTGGAGTTTGGCAGATTTATAATATGCTTTATTTCTAGGACTGGTTGGTAGAAAATTGGGTTTTTAGCCAGATGACTATTTTGTGGCAAGTATCAGCTTTCTGTAGAAAATTTCACTTTTCATTAGACACATGATTCTCCTTCAGCTTCCCCACAAAAAAAATCTCCAAAATGCCACCATGGTTCTTTACAGGATTTGAAGATCATGTGCTGTCATACTGCTCCTTTATACTGAGTCTCAAGGGTGTTCCTGTCCAATGACATGCTATGACCATGATTTACTGACTTCTCTCAGTAGGTGAGGAGAGCATCATGGGGAGAAAACTGTGCAAAATCTGACCCAGAAACCCAGTCTATAAAAGAAAACAGGAGCATGAAATACCAGAACTACACCAGGAATTTCAGTGACATTTCAGAATCAAAATATGTTGGGTTTTGGCTGAAATAGGAAAGGAAGATAAATTTGCATTCTAGATGGAAGGGGGCCGTGCTGCAAAAGCTGAGTGGATGAACCCCAGGATGGAATACAGGGATGCTCTAAACCATTACTGAGATTTTTCTCCAGTAGTCCAACATTGAAACTTGAACAGGATTAATTGACATAAAACAGGAAAGCTGTAGGGCTAGATTAAGACCAGTGACGTCTGTGGAGTTTTGTGCATGTAAATGATCCAGAATGTGGGTAACTGTGTCATGAACTTTATTTGGGGATAAAAAGTCTACTTTGGGAGGTTTATGTCTCCTAATATTAAGGAGGGACTGTTGGCAGCTGGGTAGATCAGGGAATGGGAAGACAAAAGTCCTCTTTGACTTTGAACAAAAACCTTATCTTGCAAGTTGGTCAGTTAGTAAAATAGATACTGAATTTTTATGTACCTTTCTTATCTGGTGATTGTGAGAATTAAATAATTATTGTGTTAGTTATTTGAAAGGAAGCCCCCAAATGTTTGCTATTCTCAACCTTTCTGCATCTTTAAAGTCTCTCCCAAAATCATATTGTGACCAGAGGTCTCAAACATGAGTGAGGTCTGTCCTGAAGTGAAGTTGTCATGTTGTCCATGCAACAGAAATCAAGCTGAGGAAAAAATATCAACTTTCATTAGAAAATAAATGCCTCTAGCCCTTACGGCTTTAGAGGGCACCCTTCAAAAATGAGCTGAATGTGTAAGGGACCTAAGGGACCCCACAACCCCAGGGGGAGGGGAGTTCAGGAAGAGTGATTGCTCCACAAGGGAACGATCCTCAACGCACAACCTAATTCTATTCCACCTCGGAGGAAAGGCAGCAAGAGGGCACAGAAGCCTCCTGGCTCTCCAGGGATCTAGCAGACCTCCTGAGCCTAAAAAGAAAGGCCTACAAAGGATGGAGGATGGGATTCACCTCCAAGGAGGAATATTCTGCACTGGTCCGGTCCTGCAGGGAGCAAACCAGGAAAGCCAAGGCTGCAACTGAACTCCAAC